TTTAATCCCTTACCCGCAGGGGGGGGGGGGGGGGGCGGGGCAGATACGACGCCCGCCAGGGCGCATGTTCCTCGAGCGGGCACGCACGGGATGCACTTCCTCCTCCTCCTCCTCATTCTCCTCCTCCTTCTCCTCCTCCTCCTTTTCCTTGTCCTCCTCCTCCTGCTCCTCTCCTCCTTCTCCTCCTCCTCCTCCTCCCGCAGAGGCGTCCTGGGAGCGGGCCCCGAGTCAAAATACCACCCCCCCCTAGGGCGCATTTTCCTCGAGCGGGCGCGCCCGAGATGCACTTCTTCCTCTTCCAGGAGCGCGTCCCAAGTCAGAATATCACACTCCTGGGGCGCACTTTCTTCGAGCGGGCACGCAAAGGATGCACTTCCTCCTCCTCCTCCTCCTCCTCCTCTTCCTCCTCGAGCGTAGCAGGAGGGCGCGCCGAGTCCTCCGCCAGCTCAGCGACGCGGTGCTGCAACTCGACCGCTCGACCTGAAATCGAACTGTCGGCAGCGCGGACCTGGCCTGCGACATCGAGAGAGTACCCTCAGCGGAAAGGGGCAAAACACGCAATGCAGTGTACACATAGAATGCGAAACCAGGCGCACTGAAGGCTTCCCTCGCAGGACGCCGATGCCGAGACGGGCAATGGGCCCGCCCTCTATAATGTGACCGACACCGGCTTCCAGAAGCCAGAAGAAGACAGGGCAGGTCCAGTAGTGCCAAAAACTGTCGGCACCATTCGGGCAACCCAGGACAGATTTCGCGGACCCCTGGAACCTATTACTGGTGCACCAACAGCCCCCGAGAGTCTTGAGGACGGCGGATCTCCAAGAAGGAGGGAGGGAGGGGGGCTATCACTTCTCGAACTTTTTCCCAATCGACGGAGTCGATGATGCTCTTGCAATCGGGTCGGACCCCCAATAATCGACGCCGAAAAGTATGCTGAAGTATGTCAGGATAAAGCTGTTCAGTAAATGCACGAGTGAAGATCCTTTGGGGCTTGAGGGACCTCAGGGGCTTGTCGGGAAACACGGCTTGGACGCCTTTAAGGGCCTGTAGAGCTCTGGCGCCAGCCTGCGACAGGTTGGGGTTCAGCAGGAATCCCTCGGAGGCCTCCAGGAGATTGTACTCATACGGGGGGCTCTTCCAGTGAGACGGCCACGGAGTTCGCGCAATCGAACGGACCAAGGGTAAGTGTTCCTCAGCCTCGCTTAATAGGAGGTCCACTCCTGCACTCCAAGAGGTAAAGGTGCAAATAGCGGCCCACATGAGGGACGCGTGGCACATCGCCTGTACACTGCCAAGCTTGGGCCCACCCCATAGCTCAAGGTTCTGCCAGTCAGCATTAGTCCACGCACGATACTGTATTTTCAGGAGCCGAGGGAAGACGCAATACTCATCATGTTGAAGGCGACGAGGGGGAGGAAGGTATTGAGCAACGTAAGATAGGACAGACAACGCACGCGACCGATATTGGCCAGCCGAGACCTCGGAGGAGCTCCCCAGGGCACCAATGGAGTGGGCTCTGCTGATGTACTTAGCGATAGGCTTCTTCCAAGGGTCCTCAGGAGTGACGGCAGGACCGAGGGGCATCCCTAAGTAGCCGAGGGCGTCCTCTATCTTAAAGTCCTTCCACTCAGGTATGTTGTCGAGTAACCAGGCTTTGATATAGAACTTGAGTCTGGCCGTCAAGAGGCCACCAATAGGGACAATCGTGCATTTAGAGCTCTTGATCTTCAAGTGCGCAATGTGCCTGGCCAACTCGAAAACTCGGAACGCGTGCATCAAATAAGCCAAGCGACGAAGGGCCATGCCAACGCCGTCCGCACAGGCACGAGTGATGCCTCTGTCAGGGGCGTCGATTTTCTCTCTGAAGGCCTGGAGGAAAGGGTCCATGGACAACGCGAATAGTAGGCCAGAGCCTGGACATCCCTGGATCATACCACTGGTGATATGAAATAGAAATTGGTAAATATGCCCTATCTTGCCCCAACAAGAGACATCCACGTAGATAAGCTCGAAAAAGTATTTCAAGGCCCTCGGGATCGGCAACGTTGCCAGAACCATCAACCTCCACTGCTGGCTGACGGACGGGAAGGCCTGGCCGAAGTCGTACCCGACCAAAATCGGGTGCAACGAGGGCTCTTGCATACTGTAGGTGCGTGCTCGAACATCCAAGTCGATAATGTTGTCCCCGGAATTCCTCCCCGCAACAAAACCTTTTTGGATCTCATCGAGACCCTGGGGCACGGCGCGGCCCAGTGCATAGCAACAAGCAGCGGTGATCAACTTGTTATCGGCGTTTTTCAGCCCAAGGGGACGGGTGTTCGTAGCACTTCTGATCGCACCATTGCCGTCGTCGTCCTCTTCGCCCTTCGGCGCGAACACCCCAAGGACGGCGTTGAAGTCAGCACCAAGTGAAAAGCCTTCGAGCATCCACCTCATACTGTCCGTCAGGATCTCGATTCCCATGGGAGCATTTTTCCACGCCTCGTAGGGCAGGTTATCAGGACCAGGGGCCGAAGGGCGGACGCGGTCCAGGATTTTCCGAAGAGTGTGGCTGCTCGGCGGCGGTAACTCTAGCTGCGGCAACTTCGGGGCGTGGCGCTGCAAGAGGTTAGCGGCCTGGTCAGCCAGAAAGGGCTTCGCCGTGAAGACCTCGCGCCAATGGGCTCCGAGCTGTTGTAGCATCTGCAGGGGCTCTTGCACTATCGAGCCGTTGTCGAGACGCACGCCTGCAAGGTTCATACGCTTGTCAAAGGGGGACCACAGCTGCTGCATCTTCGTCAACCTACGCTGCTGCTTTTTGAGTTTGCTCCTCCGGTGGTAATCGGACTCCCGCTCAGCTCGCCGACGGATTTCAGCTCGAAAACGCTTTGCGGCTTCATGATGCAGGGCGCTCGACAACACAGAAAACTCTTGCGGCAAACGAAGAGCGACAGTGTGCACCTCATGCTGTACATCAAGGTGCTCTCTGGCCAGTGGGTGAGCACGTAAAAGCTTGGCCGCCAGCACACAGTCGTTCTGGAAGACCGCCCGCGCACAGCTTCTAACAATCAGGAGCTTTGCAGTGATGCTGTTCGGCTTATGTACTATGATGCTATCTCGTGCGTGTCGTGCGGCTTCATGCATCAGCATTTTCAGGTGCCTCCTCCTCTTCCTCCTCCTCCTCCTCCTCATCCTCCTCCTCCTGCTGCTCCTCCTTCTCCTCCTCCTCCTCCTCCTCCTCCGCTTCCTCCCCCCACTTCTAGCCCTTTCGATCAGTGTCGGCGGCACCGGCCGTCAGGCCTCTCCAATCTACAAACTGATCTTCGAGGATCGAGGGGGATGAGGTGATGGATCATTGTCCACGGGACGTCGCCTCCTCGCCGCGGTGTATGTCTATTTATCCGCCGCCCTGGACCGAAGTCCTCAAGGTAGAGGCCCTCTTTTTATAGTTGTCGAAACCCCTAGAGGGAGATGGAGAGATGAGAAGGAGGAAGGGAGAGGGTGGAGGAGGGGGCGCGGGGTCCTGACAAGGAGCTCGTCGGCCATTGAGCGCAGACGCCTGCAGAAAGGCCCTAAGGAACGCCCACCTGTGGAAAACGCCCCCTGAAGCCAGTTCGAAGTGGCGGCACGACGTCCCTGGAAACAGGATCGGGAACGAATCTGAATTCATTGGGGGTGATAGGCCTTGAACAGATTGTGCACAAGTACAAAGAAGCATGGCTATGCGTGAGAAGGGCGGGACCGCCTATCGGACATACTGCGGACGGCAAGCATGCGTGAGCAGCGCGGGAGGCGACAGCGAATGGTGGGAGCGAGCAGGGGAGGACAGGATGCGTAAAATCGGCCGCGCGCCGAGTGGGGAAGTGCGAGGGGCAAAGCCTTCTCAGAAGGCGGCGGAGCTTCTCTGAAACCCTCCAGCCTTCTGAGCTTTCTGGGAAGGCCGGCCCCCTCTGCTTTCCCTTCTGGGCGTGCCGCCGAGAAAGGCAACAACGGGATGAGAGGACATGAGCCATGACACCTCCACACTCCGCCGCCTTACAGTGGATGCAATTACGGGTAGGCCTGGGCAAACGCCCAGATGCGATCTTGGTATTGCACCTCGACTTAGGAGCTGCCGACTTAGGATCTGAAACTACAGCAAAGCCCTGAGAGGAATCCAACAGACCGGTAACACAAAGCGGCCCATGGTCAAGCATGAAGCGGGGCGTGCCAGGGATGAAGCAGAGAATCGATGCACTGCAGTCATCGTGCTACGATAAGGAAAGCTGAACTAGAAGCGGAGGGGCCTTCCTGACCACGTCGAGCCTCGGCCACGAATCTCAGGAACGGCCCGAAAAACAAAGCCCCTCCTGAGCCCAAAGTGGTCCTCACGAGCGCACACGTACCTCTTCTGGACACCAGAAATGAGTCGATCGTCTTCCAGATCGAGGAGTGGTGCAAGGCGGGGACAGCGAGGGCAGCCAGAAGACAAACATTTCCATCATCACCCAAGACAGCAACACGCAATGAGCCTCACGAGTGAGCGTGCGCGCAGGTTCGATGAAAGGGAACACTGGGGGGGCACCGGCTCAGGCGGGAAAACATCGAGCTGGAATCGCGGGAGACGTGGGGTATCAGTTCCCGATCGGCGGTGAATGGGCAATGGGGAGTCGATGCATCCTACGCTGAGCCTATCCTTCCCTGGCTAACGTTGCCCCTGAGTCGAAAATGGAGGAGGTGACCGCAGACCGGTGCAGGGCTGAACGACCGAGCAACTCAGAACTGCAGGACGATTACCAGCGAAGGCCTGACACCGCTTCTGAGGATCCCGCTGCCAGCCTATACTCGACTGGCCGCCAGCTGGAGATCGCACAGCTCAGGGACGCGTCGGTGTCTGACATGGCTTGGAATGGCCTGATCGCGAGGGCGAGTGTCGAAATCTTCCTGAGACTGGGAAACTCCCCATCCCGCGCCAGCGTCGCGTCGCCTCAAGCGCCCCACCCCGGCGGGAACACCCACCGACACAATCCCTCCCGAGCGGCCTGACGAGTGCAACTCGAGATAGTCGATCACGGCCATTCTCAGGTTCAGCTCCTTGGTGTCAGACCAGGAATAGAGAGAGAGAGAGAGAAAAATGAGGAATGCGACACGGTGGGCCAGAAAGTTCACGGATGCCCAACGACAGCCCTGCTTTGAAAAGGAACCTCCCTCAATCCGTATAGGCGTTACACTATCTGAAATTAGGGTGGTAGGATCGAGCGAATTCTCAAGCGAGAACACCATTTTGACAAGGTATCGCCCTCCATCAACGCATCTCTGCTTCATAGTGTTGTACTTGGGGTAGCAAGTTGCGAGGAAATCTCTTCTTTCACGGAAAAAATCTACATATTAAGACCAATGAGCGCAAAACCAAAAACGAGAGTACCGCAAAAACGACCGGCCCTCCATCCGTGTAGCTGTTGGAGAGCTGTCGTTTGAGTGTGCGCAGCGCCAAGACGAGAGCCTCTTGGGGAAGGGCCCGCTCTCGGGGATGCAACTGGCCAGTCCCAACGACACGTCTGGTAGTGCAACTGGGAGGAGTTACTTATCACGGAGACAGAGGTGGAGAAAAATAATCAGGAAGAGTATTGGAAGAAGGGGGCATGCGATAGAACCACATGCGGCTCGTACACATGCGTTGCGCATCGCTTCGAGACGCCTCGGGCTCCTCGACCTGGCGCGGCCCTGCCCTTCCGTGCTTCGTGCAGCGAGCGTACTGCCCACGTCTGAGCTTCGTGGAAGACGCTGTGGCCGGAGCTTCGCCGTGCTCAAAGGAACCACCCTGCTGAAACGGGGCCACGGGGCGCAGCCTGGCTACAATCGAAGCGTTCCGTTGGCAGAGCTGGAAGGAAACACCCAGGCTCTCCGACACACCAGCGGCCCGATTACACTCTGATTGTCGATAGCGCTGTCATGGTGCATATCTTTTTTCAGGGGGGTCACCGCTGCGCAGACGGTCAACAGAGCGGACTGGAAGGATTTCTGGAGACTTGCCGAAAGTAGGCAAATCAACATAACGAAGGTGAAATCCCACGCTTCCACAGAGACCGTGGAGGGAGACGGAATTCCCAAGCCAAATGGTTAGTCAACGGGGTGGTCGACCATGCGGCCGAGCAGGGGGCTACCCTAACCCCGCTCCCAGCGTGGACCATATGTGAGGTGTTGGCCAAAGATGTGCATTGTGCGGAAGCGCTCGAACGCCTCACTTCGGTCGCTTTTCAGGTTTCCGGGCGGGCTCCAAGGTGACCAAGCTCGCCGAAGCAAAAGAGCGCAGTACCGCCAAACAGGAGAAGCTGCAAGAATCCATGCCGGATTCCACACACCAGTCCCAGAAGGATTCCACTGGGCGCTTCAAATGAGAGATTCGCGGGACCAGACTCCAAATCAATGCTTTGGCGTGGTTGCGCGAGGCCTGCCTGGGGGGGCCGGCCTCGTTGCACAGTTCGAATTGTTTTGGTTCCACCTGGGGGCGCTACTGGTGCCGAGCTTTGTGATCCCAGGTGGAAGGGGGCCTGGGGTACCAGAGTGTTGAAAGCTCTTGCCGAAGCGAAGCTCCCCCCCAGGCCTCAAGGCGTGGCCTCACAGTCGTTGAGACAGAAGTCTTCTACCTTTCATTGCGCCTAATGTTGGGAGTCCGCAGTGCAGATCCGAAGAAAAATGAGCAAGAGGAAGGCGAGACAAATGACAAGGAACACTAAGGGGGATGGGACGGGACGAGCGGGAGGAGGACGGAGGAGGCGGATGATGATGAGGAGGAGAAGCAGGAATAGGATCATGATGAGGAGGAGAAAGTCACGAAAGGTAAGAGCGCTTGGGGATCGTGACCCCTACCAAAAAATGCTTGACCCCTGCGACATGGAATTGGTGCAGGACCCGCGTTTTTTTCCAACCGAGGGAATGCCTGCCTGGAGTGGCGGTGCTACGAAGTAGCCCCCCCGCCGAGGTATCGGTGGGGGGACACTTCGTAGCACGCCGCACTTGTCACGTGAAAGGAGAGGGAAAAGCCCGCAGGCCCGCGCGGCGTGCAACGGGCGGTGCAAACTCACCGCTGCCACTAATAAAACTCTTGACTGCTCACTACTCATCCTCTTACTGCTTTCCCTGGGAGTCGAGGTCTCTGTACTAAGGTCGCGGAGGAGGAGGAGGAGGAGGAGGAGGGCTGTCCTGCTCGGTCAACTCGTCTGCTGGGAGGGTGGCGAAAAAAACCTCCGCGACCTTGCCAGTGTCCTTGGCGGGAGCGGGCGGCTCCTTTGGGGGGGAAGGGCAGGGGGAGGAAGGGGGAGCAGGGGGGAGGAGAGGGGAAGGGGGGGGGGAGGGCGGGGGAGGGGGAGGGGGGGGAAAAGGAGGGGCGCGGGGAGGGGGAGGGGTGGACGTCCAGGAAAAGGGCGGCGGGGGGAACGGGGGCGCGGGGGCGTGGGAAAGAGGGGGAGAAGGGCAAGGGCAAGGAAAGGGCAGGAGGAGGAGGAGGAGGAGGAATAGAAGATGAGGAAGATTACCTGGTACTCATCATCCCTCTTTTCATGCTCTTGCTCCTCTCGGGTCCTCTACCTTTGGAAGGGGGGAATGGGGGGAGTATGCGGAGAAGAGAGAGACAAGGGCTGAGATGAGCTGAAGGGTCGGGTAGGGTCCACATGGCTGCTGTAAACGATCATAACCCTCGGCCGTGAGCATATACGAACCGTAATCATTTCATTGTGAATATTTACTGCTGCGTCGAAGCCCGGGCACGGATGAGTGTTGCAGCCAACCCGTGATTCCCCAACTAAGCTTTGCCTGAAAGGTCTGTACTTGTTCGTGACAGGAACGGGTGGGTGTGGGGCCCTTCGTCAGAGGCGGCCCCCGGCATCACTCGGGGTTGCCCGAGGGCTGCTCGGGGTTGCCCGATGCCAAGCACTGACCAGCAATGCCAAAAAAAAAATGCCAAGCAAAAAAAAAAAATGCCAAGCAATGCAAGTCAATGACAAGCAATCCCGAGCAAGGCCAAACACTGCCAAGCAACACGGAACAACAATGCCACGTAGCGATTCCACGCAACGCGCCAACCAGTGCCAAACAATGCAAAACTAACGCCATGCAATGCCAATTAACGATTCCAAGTAACGCCAAATAACAAATTGAATTGCATCGCATGCATTGCTCAGAACTGACTTGGAATCCCTTGGGAGAAAGAACACCCCCTGATTGGCGCCGCGCCAGGTTCAGTACGAAAGGCGTTGCAAGCTCATGAGCCCGCGCGCGCATCTGGAAAAAGAAAGCTGATAAGGATTGGTGCGCGCACGTATTCGCAAGGCTTAGCATGATCGGGGCAAGACGCACTTTTACAAGATGAACGCATGCGCACCGCACTGCGTTCTTTGACAAGGAGAGGCTCGGCCCGCACTGTTTTATCTGACGACGGGGGAAATGCACGCCTGTGCACCGGATGATTATTATTGGCTAATGGGGAAAAGAGCCTGGGCAGAACGCAACGACGCTCGCATGGAACGCAGGGTTTTACTTGACATGAAAACTATGTGTGTGCGCGTGTGTGCAGGGGGAACGGGTCAAATAGCCTACACCACCCGAGGTCCAATGCCCGTAAGATGGAGCCTATTGCGATCAGGATGTACCCCTGACAAAATAAGTCCTCAGGGCCCAGTGACAGTACCTGAGCCAAGATAGCAATAGGAGAGGGAAATACAACGAGAAATAAAGGTACAATAAGGTACACACAAAGTGCCATGGGCTGGATGCGGTGATGCGGCCCAGTCCAGCCTCGGGCCAAGGGTAACTCTAGTAAGATTAAGACTGTTGGGGAATGGACGGCGTGAGATTCCAGGCAAAGGAGGAACGGAGGACGAGAGGGAGAGGATGTGAGATGTGGAGAGGTGGACGGGGGGGTCGAGAGGGCGGGGATGGAGGGGGAGGTGGAGGGGGAAGTGGTAGCGATGGGAGGTGAGCGGGAGGGGGAAGTGATGCGGGACGGAGGGGGGGACGGGCGGGGGTGTGTAGAGGGCAGCTGGGGAGCAGTGAGGGGAGGGAGGGGGAATGGGGATGCGAGGGAGGGGGTATGAAGGTGGATTGGGAGGGGGGCAGAGGAAGCTCTTGGCATGCAGGGAAAGGGGAGGGGATCGGGAACGGGAGGGAAGCGGTTTGGATGGTGGAATAACACAAGGAAGGACGGGTCCAGATTCCCTCATCTCTGGCCGTCTCGAGCGGCCAATGCTCGCAAACTGTAACGGCCGTTTCAGGATCCCAAACGCGCTGGGCGAGCGGGTCTCGTCCTCCTCGTTTTCGATTTCTCCGCCGCCGCCTCCTGCTCCCCCCCCTCCTCCGCTTCCTCTTTTTCCTCATCCTCCTCCTACTCCTCGTCCTTTTCCGTTTCCTCCTCCTCTTCCTCCTCCTCCTCCTCTCCTCCTCCGCACCTCCCTTCCTCAAAAAACGCAGCGGGAGCGAACGCTCGCAATTGCAGGCAAACCTTCCCCCCCAACCCTATGAGCCGAGAAGGTGGAGAGCTTCCTCTGCCTTCGCCTCCGCCTATTCCTCCTCCTCCTCCTCCTGTTCCCTCCTCCCTCCTCCCTCCTCCTCCTCCTCCTCTTCTTATGCTTCTTCGTCTTCTTCTTCTTCGTCTTCGTCTTATTATTATTATTCGTCTTCTGCGTATGCTTCTTATTCTTATTATTCCTCTTATTATTTTTCTTCTTCCTCCTCCTCCTCCTCCTCCTCCTCGTCCTCCTCCTCGT